GCATTAATTTATTCTGGCACATAGGAACCGGCTAAGGTGTAGACATGTCCCCTGCTATGTTCGCCTTTGGATAAGCAGCAGCCCGTCAAATACTGGAAGTAGCACTTGGCTTGTGCGTGGGTCACCTGCGACGTGGATGTTGAAGTTTGCGAGGGTTTGCGCAATCCTGCTTCTCCTATTTGACGGTTTGTCGTCCGAAGAAGCTGCCTCTTTTGTGTCCAGAGTTGGCAGTGCATGTACTTGGCCGTGGAATAGCACATTGTCGACAATTATCTGGCCCCGGTCGCTAAGCAGCTCGCGGTCGAGAATCAGGTCGTAGTACTGCTGGTACCCAGACTTGTTCGCGTCTATAAATACGAGGTCCAACTTGCGCTGCATGTCCCAATCTTCCAGAACCCTGCTTGCAGGCTGTCCAATGACGCTGATCAGATCCGCATATCCTGCAGATCCTACGTTTGCCCTCGCAATCTCAGCCACATGAGTGTCGCGCTCACACGTCCATAGGTGTGCTGCCTCGCCTTGCTTGCATAGCCCACGAGCCAGCCATAGTGCTGAATAGCCGATGTAGCAGCCCAATTCCAATGCTGTTATCGCTTGTTGTGAGCTGACCATGTGCGACATGAAGGCGCCTTGGAGTGGTGAGATCATCTTTTGTGCCTCGCGTGGGTTCCGTGCAATTGCCTCTTCTCGCACTCGTTTAAATTCGATGGGTTCTGGTTCTGTTAGCTGTGCAGAGTACTGGTATGCACTTGGTGGCGTAGACGCTGCCGTTTTATCGCTATCGAGAAATGATCGCAGCGTTTTGTGCTTGATAGACGTTCCAAAGCTCCTTGTATGAAGGCAGCAGCTGCCGCTCGTTGCCCTGCAGAATGCCTTGCGGGCAGGCAGGTTCGGAGAAAGCATTAGAGTAATTTATCTGTCTTGATAGCAAATGGAGGTGGCTGTCTGCTGCGAGCGTACATATATCAGAGCCAGAAGATGAGCTGCAAAACCACCTAGCATACGCGATATTTTATGTATGGGTTAAGCAGCGCAGAGCAGTTGCGTCGCCGACGTGTTACGTCAAGCCCTTCGCAACCTTGGAATTTGACAGCACTTTGCCTTGTCTTCAACAGCAGCAGTGCTCTTTTTCTCCGCTTCATTCATTTGTTGTTGCATTTTGACTACTTTTATATTTACAAAATAGAAATCGGAAATGTTCCTAGGCGTGCTGTCGACGCTAGGGTGGGTGTTTGGGCTCTTGTTCGTCGTGTTTTCTGTCGCGTGTGGGCTGTATATCATATCCGAGTGGGTGGAGGAGTATCCACGGCAAACGCGCAAGGTGATCCAGTACGCCGTTTGGGCGGTAGACCTGGTGCATGTGCTGACGCTGGCTGACGGCATGAGCTGGTGGCGCATTGGTCTCTCGCTAGCAATCAACCATGTGTACACACTGAACCTCGCAACGTTCCCACTGGTGAACCTGGCGAGCATAGCGTTCTTGGGCAGCTGTGGACTGGCTATTGGCAACCACTTTCTGTGGTTCTTCTACTTTATCGGACACTTGGGATATCCGTTTGGGCAGGTGTGCGCATTCATGTTCTTCTGCGTCTGGCTGGTACCCATTGCATTGTTTGTGTCGCTGACGCCAGTGGAATCGTCGCTGCCGAGCTCGCAGGAGGCCTCTTCTGGTGGAAAAAAGATGCGGCAGAACATGTTCAAGGCACTGTTTTCACGGCTAAAGCGGACAGACGAACAGGTGCTCCACACAGACTAGCTGCCTCACATGCCAGCTTTCCAAATAATAAATTGATGCGTTTCTGCTCTCTTTCATGTGGCGACTGCGTGTGCGTCGCTCTCTTCCGTGGTCTAGAAACAATGGCAGGTGTGATATTCACAACAATCGGCGACTGCAGCAACGGCAGCAACAGCGCCCGTAGCGACAGCAGGGTTGGGGCAGCTGTAGTGGGCACTGGGCGAGCCGGCCCTTCAGCCTCCGAGTGCCGTGCAAGCTCTTTTATCGCCCGTGTGGCCCCCACCTGTGCTGCCCCATCTATTATGAAAATCAGCTCTGTGCAGCCATGCGCGCTAATGCCTTTTTTGCCCTTATATTTTGTTCCTTTCGACTTGGTCGCTTGCCTGTGCTGACGCACATCAAATCACCTGGTCCGCTTGGCTGGAATATTTAAACCCCCTTTGCCATGCCGGAAAAAAGCAGGCCTGTCACAGAACACCCTGAACCCCCTCCCCCTGCTCTCTACACTGCGCTTCCTTCCTTCCTCTTCTTTTTTAGCAGCTGAGATACCTTTGAACCCTCTCCAAACTGCACGCACACCTTTTACCGCCTATCCACTCCTTTCGTTTTTCTTTTTAAGCTAAGCCAAAGCCAAAACCAAAGCAACCATGACAGTATACTCAAAGGCAGTTCCCAACAGTGGCGACGACCACGAAACGCCCACCCGCCGCTTCCACACCACCGCGGACAGAATCATCGACCGCGCCGAACCCAACCTCACCAACATCTACCAGGGGCTCCTCCATGGCCTTGAGACCAGGCCAGACTTTGGCATCATGGGCAAGCGCGATGTTCTTGGCACTGTGACTGAGGATAAAATCGTCAAGCGCAAGGTTGACGGGAAAACGGTTTCCGAAACCAAAAAGTGGAGCTACTTTAAGCTTGGCGAGTACAAGTGGATGTCGTACCGCGAGGTCGTCGAGTACACGAAGAACCTGGGCTCTGGGCTCCTCAATATCGGCCTGAAGGCCGGAAGCCGTGTTCTTGTCTATGCGCCCACTTCCCGCGAGTGGCAGCTCTGCGCCATGGGTAAGTTAATTCAGTTTGGCCTGATTTCAAAACAAGAGCGGCTTAGGGACTCCCCCGTTGCTTCTTTGATCGCCAGGTTTTGCGCTGCTTTCGATGTTCGATCATGTCGCTCGTTCGTCCTCGGCAGCTGCTTGCCCTGCAAGGAAAAGCCCATCCCCACCCACTTCTTTGATACGTGTCGCCACCCCCACTCCCCCAACGCAAAACCCCGCTCTAGCTATGCCGGTGGGTAAAAGGAAAAGAATAACATGACCAGACACTGGTTCTCCGCACCCTCCACCACCACCGCCCCCTGCGCAACACAATGAGACACGCATTCTTAAAGTGCACTGGGCACGCTTCTAAGCCAACCATCCCACGCTAACTTGATTTGCCCTTTCGGGCGGAAAATGCACTTTCCCGCTTTTGCGGCCATCTAGGAACATTCTCCCAGTCGATGCAGATCGTCACTGCGTACGACACGCTCGGCGAAAGCGGCGTCCTCCATGCCATGAACCAGGCCAAGGTCGATGCAATCTTCCTTAAAGCCGACCAAATGCCGATTCTGGCCCGAATCATGGATGACATTAAGACCGTCAAACACGTCATCTACTACCAGGACGCATACGGCATGCCCAATGGCTGTGAGGAGGCCATTGAGAAGGTCAAGGCCAAATTCGCCACTTCCACTATGGAGGAGGTCCACGAGCTGGGCAAGGCAACCCCCGCCGAGCTCAACCTGGCCGACGGCGACGCAGTAGCGCTTGTCATGTACACTAGCGGAAGCACCGGTCAGCCCAAGGGCGTGCTTATTGGCCACCAGAGCGTCATGTCTGTGGCTGGCGGTATCCACGAGTTTATCACGCCATTCTTGGAGTATGGACACGACTGCATTCTCTCGTATCTGCCCCTCTCCCATGTGCTCGCATTCTTTGTTGACATGTACTGTGTGTACTCGGGCCTTGCTATCGGGTACGGAACGCCTCGTACGCTGACCGATGAGAGCGTCCGCGGGTGTCCTGGAGATATCAAGGCACTGCGCCCCATGGTCATGCTTGGTGTCCCGCAGGTGTGGAGCACCATCCGTGCCGGTATGCTGAAGCAGGTCGATAAGAGCAGCTGGCTCGTGCGCAAGCTTTTCTACGGCGCCGTCGAGCTGAAGAACGCGCTGCGTGACTACCACTTGCCACACAGCTTCCTCGATGACATCGTCTTCAAGAAGACTCGCGAAGCCACTGGCGGTCGCCTAAAGTTTGTCATCACTGGTGGTGCCCCCATCAACAAGAACGTCCAAAGGCTGATGACTGCTGCACTGTGCCCAATGATCCAGGGTTACGGTATGACCGAAATGAGCGGCCTTGTCTCCGTCCAGCTGCCCAGCGACGCGTCGCTTAACAACGTCGGTGCCCCTTGCCCGTCGGTCGAGATGAAGCTGGTTGATGTGCCCGAGGCAAACTACTACGCCAAGAACGGCCAGGGCGAGATTTGGCTGCGTGGACCGTCTGTTTTCAAGGGATACCTGGATAACGAGGAGGAGACCAAGAAGACGCTCACCGAGGATGGCTGGGTGATGACTGGCGATATTGGCGAGTGGACAAGCCGTGGACAGCTGACCATCATTGACCGCAAAAAGAACCTGGTCAAGCTAATGAACGGCGAGTACATTGCCCTCGAGGCCCTCGAATCCACATACAAGAACTCGCTGTTTATCAACAACATCTGCGTCTTTGCCGACTCGCGCATGTCCCAGCCCTGCGCCATCGTCAACATTGACGAGAATGTCATTGGCCAGATGGCCGACGACGCCGGAATTCAGTACAGCAACCCATCGGAGATTGCTACTAACAAGGACTTTATCCATGCCGTTCTCACTGATCTCCAGCGTGTCGCCAAGAATAACCGCCTGACCAAGCAGGAGACCCTTGGCGCTATCAGAATCGACCCTGTTCTTTGGGCGCCCGAGAACGACAGGCTCACACCAGCCATGAAGCTCAAGCGCACTGATATTCGCGACCACAACAAGGAAAAGCTGGAGGAGATGTATGTCCAAATGGGTCTCGAGTAAGCCTCACATGCTGTTTTGCTTTTCGTTTTTTATTGCTACTGTTGTCGTTTCAATACGAGCTGTCTATCTATTTATCACCAGATCTCGCTGGAGCTGGAGCAGCAGAAAAATGTGCCCTTTCACAAAAAAACAAAAAAGGGAATGTGCAAAAAGTGCCCACTTCCGGATTTGAACCAGAGATCTTCTGCTGTCTGTAGTTTCCGCCAACGCTTGCGCGCACAGCTTTCATACGAGGCAGACGCCGTAACCGCTTGGCCAAGCAGGCCACTCTGACGCGCCGCGAAAAAATATATCCCTTTAAAGGTATGGTTTATGAGAGAAGCCATTTTTGTCATATCGTAATCGGTATCCCTCCATAGTCAGAGGCTTCGTTGTCGAGAACAATTTGTGCTACTGTCTGCTACTGCAACCACTGCCAACGTTGCAGCATGCTTTCTGGAACTCGATTGTTGTCAGCAATGTTTACGCTAACTGCGTAGGATGCACGTTACAGCGTTTGTTGTTGCAGCGGCAAACGGTAAACCAATTCATTTCCAACAACCAAACCACTGACTTTGGAACGATAATAGCCACGGCATGACACAAGACAGACAGCAGACTGATGGACTCTTGGGCAGCCCATCGAAGAGCCCACTTATCTCTTTCACACAGAGCCAAACATGGGATCCCAACCTAATTACTTTTCTAGCTGTCGACATTCACAGATAACGCTTGCAGAGGCAATGGACAGTATTATATTG